TTACTATAACATAACTTTGTAAATCTGTGTGAGGAATTAGAGGGAAGAGGGAAGAGATGAGGGATAGTGTTAATATTGTAAGAAAAAAATCATCAGTTTATATGATGCAAAATGCAAGTAAATATTTAACTATTTTATAATACTTACCATCTGCTTTTTACTTTTAGGTGATATTATGAAAGCAGTAACTGAGCTGAATAGAGCACATATCATCAGTATCTTGGATAGCTGTAATTTGGGTGACAATAAAATAGAAGTCTGTTTGCAGAAAATTTATACTCCAGAGAATATTTATTAAAAGTTGGCAAATGAAATTATTACAGGCTATAAAGGAAGAACTGTTTTAAAGATATTCTGTCATTTTGTTGGTAAGTTAAGTAACTTTTTCAGCAAAAATTACATGAGCTCTAAAGTTATTAAGTGGTTTTATGTTTGTCTTGTATTTGGTGCTGACACACTTCATTGTAGTTCAGTATTGAAAAGGTCATCAAAACACAATTTTTGTCTATCAAGAAAATTTACTTTTCTTCTATATGACTATTACCTTGACTTGTAACAATTTGTTCACTGTCCCATTTGTGAAATGCACTTTTATCGTAAATCATAAGGCTTCCTAATGTACAAGATCAGCTTTTCATGGATATGTAACATCCTTCCAAATTTAATCACATGGAAATGAGAAAATCTGAATTGCCAATTTGAAGGTTCAGTTCTCCTAAGGTAGTCAACCAATGTTTCTCACAACCAAGGTAGATTCTATCATTTTCAAAAGCACACATGGATTGCTATGGTCCAGTTGCCCCTGGTCTTTAGTTTGTCACCTGTAAAATGAGAGTGTTGAATTAAATAATGTCTTAAGGTTTCTTTCCACCCCCTATGGTGACTTCATAGGGTTTAAACTTTTAAATATTTTGATCAGTATATGATGTTAAAGCCAGAGTCTGTTGTATGTCTATATTCTTGCTATATTTGTTTGTAGTTTTGATATATTTAATGTTAGTTTAAATAGTTAAACTTTATCTCATGTTAACATTTTAAGTGCTCATATTGAAAGTAGGAAACAGTAACTAAGGGAATTGATTTTATTCTTGTCTGTTATACTTCTATTTTAACTGTAAGTGGCCACTGCATATTTGAGGGTCCTGTGGCTGACATCTATGTGATTAGTTAGATGTGTCAATATGATCATCATATGAATTTAAAGATTGTTCTATATCAAAATGAATCTGATTGCATTTAAGCTTATAGGATTTCCTTTTAGCCCTATGGTTCTGTGACTTTATATGCTATAC